TCCATGATCTTCCCAGGCACAGAGGTGAAATGCTGCACTCCTTTACCACCCTTCACCAAAATTGTTTTAACTCAGGTTCTATTTTATTTATTCCCTCCAGCACACCATCCTCTTCAATGCTTACATTGCTTTTACCTTTGTTTTCATTTCCCTCTTGTGATTGTTGTCCCACCATGCTTCTCCTGTCTCTGTTGTATCTGGTTTCAGATCCTGCATCAATACTTCCAGTTCCCCCATTTTCTTGCCAGGTTCCTCCCCATCAGCATACAAACACAGGACTTACTACCTCTCACTCTCTGTTTCCCGGCCCATCTATACAGAAGTCTGTCAGCATCTGACCTTCTTAGAAGTCAGTTCCTCAGTTCAGGACCAATGGCATCAGCAGCACAAGATGACTGTCAGGGTGTCAGTGAGAGGCAGCAAAACCATTTTTGCCAGCTGTGGCCCCTCAGTGCTTTTCAAGATGAGGAACCAGATCCCTAGGGGATGGACATGCTCTCTTTCTATATGATAGATGGTGTGTTTTCTCCTTCAACACTTCCAAAGAGTGTAAATCAGAGTGAACCGGTACTGTTCTGGGAGTCTCACAAGCAACTGTTGGCAGTACTGAATACTACAGATATATAGATATATTTATTTTACAAGGCAGGGCATGGATACTGATAGGCAACTTGTCCAAAAAAGCTGCAGAAAGACACACTTGGTCTTCTTGAGCTTTAATGCTGCCAAACTATTTTTTTAAGCTGGATACACTGCCTGTTTAATCCATTTTAATATCTTTTCATTTGTTAAGGCGTACCTTGTGGGTCGGATAAGGTTCAACCACTAGAAAAATGTTATGACATAAATATTATGGAAATAACTCATATAAATTACAAGCTTAAACTCACTTTTCCTAGCCAGGAAGAAGATGGAAAGAAAAATAAGGAATTCTACTTTTCCTCCTCCTTTCTGAAAATCTGACATGAGAGAGATCCCTTGGGATGCAGATCTCCAAGCTATGGAAAGCAGAGCTGGGACTGTCAGATTAGCACTGTCTGGCATACGACCCACCCCAGGGCCCTCTCTGTCCCATGGCCTCCCACAAGCAGGGAAGCTTCACCCCCACCAGCACCACAGGGCAGCGGGGGAAATCCTTGCTCCCACAACCTCAGCTGGCTCATCCACGGGTTTCCTGGGCTACAAACCCAAATCATTGCTGTTAGCAAGCAAACCTCTACCCTTACCATAGCAGATCTATGATGGTGCAGCCAACAGTTTCCAGTTCCCCGAGGTGGAGGCCAATGTGGTCTTGAACAAAAGCAGTCCAAGAATTGAAAACTTTCACTGCAGCGTTTGGGTAAAGCAAACCAGATTCACCAGTGGCCTCCTACTTTGCCAAAATGGCACAGAAATGAGAGATGTAGAAGGTGCTACCTGAATTCACATTTTTTTTTTCTTTTCAGATCACTGAGAGAATAATTGTTTTATTTGTCGTGATCAACAGTCAGGAAGAAGTACAAGGGAAATACGTTGTGTGCGTTTTATTTTTCCTTTGGAATTTATTAGATGTGGTCAGGTAAGGAGTCAATGGCGAAACCATGACGGGAAAATGGGTAGCCCATCACCCCACCCGCAGTGTGCTGCAGGCTCATTTTATTATTTCAAAGTTGGTAGAAAAGCATATTAGCCATTTTAAATAAATACTTGGACCTTATAAGCTACTTATTTTTACAAAAATCCACATAGTTGAGAGGCAGAGTGACTTACAAAAGTAAATTGTTGCATTAACATTTGTAGTTCAAAAGCTTTAACCTTTTTAACAAAAATTTAACAAAAATTTTAAAAAAAATTTTAAAAAAACTTTAAAAAAAGAAGGAAATCACAGCTATCTCCTGGGGAACAGCAATTCCCAAAACTGATTTACAATCCTATTGCTTTTTTTTGCCCTTTTTTTTTTTTTTTTAACTTCTCACTTCAATCCAAGGCAGCACTGGCAGAACTTCTTGCTCAGACAGAAAGACTCTTCTAGGTCAATTGCACTGTGCTTTCGAAAAGGCCAAGAGCTCTTGCTGCAAAGACTGAGAATTTTGGTGTAGTAAGGTATATATCACACCACAGGGACAACGCACATGAAGCAAAATGGGTAGGAATACAATTCAGGATTTTTATCTCAAAAATTTTGTATGGTGGAAGGTTACCAGTACCTCCCTGTGGTAAAAGTATAATGGTGAAAATTCCACTTTACTGAGTTTTGCAGATATCTGAAGTCAATAAAATTTCTCAAATGTAACTTAAGCCTCTATGGACCTCAGTTTCTAGACTTTACAGCAGGGAAGACATACGGAATTAAGAAGCATTTTAACAAGACATAGCCGTCATGGCAACCTCTGTACTGGAGAAAAATTTTTTCTTTATCGTTTGTCTTTCTGCTAAAATAGCTCTCTGCTATTTTAAATACATTGCTTTGAGGACTGACTGGGGAATAAGGATTTAGGCAGAAAATCAAAATGTATGTTATAAAAGAGATCTGAAAAAGAAAAGTGTCAGGTAGGATTGATAAGATTTTAGGTCAGCTTCAGAGTATTTGTACCACATGTGTTAATAAACCACTAATTGTATTAATTATTTGGATTATTGCTCCATCCCATTTCTTTCTGAAGTTTGTAAAGCTAAATAGTAGAACCTAATCTCAAATGAAAGGGTTCTGTGCAGCTGGAGAGAGGCCAAAAGTGTAAACAATATTGGCTGTAAAGTCCGGTCAGTGCACAATAGTCTAGTCAATGCATCATTATTTTCCATCATTGCTAAAGAACACAGTCCAGCATCATAGCAGTAACAGTGGCTTGTTTAATAGGCAAGATACTGCGGTCTACTGCAGCAAAGGACCAATTCAAATAATAAGGCATACTACAACTCATACAGATTTAGAATTCTCACCTGATTTATTTTACAGCATTTGTGCCATGTCCTAGCATCTCAAAGAAGCAGTCACGTCTAAAAGTGGACAGGGATCTATCCTATTCCTTAGCCAACTAATTGTAAAGTATTACATGTTCTTCCACATAATTCTTGAGGGACATTAATATCCTGTGCATGGTGGCTAATGATATACTGAGAGCAAATTCTGCAAGGTTTTCTATATCTGATCGTTCCTGCTTATACCATAAACAGCCCAAGAAGGTGTATAGAGAGAGCATAGCTATTTGCTTTTTGTATTGGGTTGAGATTATGTCTTAAAAGGAATAATAATAAAAAATTGAGACAATCCTGAGATTGCAGAGGGCAAACTTGAGATAAGATGCTACATTTATAGCCTATCAAACTCTTCTACAGTCCAGGAATGATGCAAAATTAGTCAAATGAATTAATAAGAGGGGAATACAGAAAGTTTGTTTAATGCTGGTTTTATCTGTTAGAAACAGTCCTGGCTAACAGTGGCTTAAAAATCCTTATTTTCGTATCTCTAGCAAGACTACAGGGCAAAAAGCCTTTCAGTTGACCAAAAATGCAATCATCAGACCTGTTTCTCTGGTGTTTGAAAAGCTGCTGGACCACTTCTAGGCTGAACTAGCTAGGATTAGCTGCCTTTGGAGACTGAAGTCCTAGGCATTCCAGTCTCCCAGTGAGCAACCCTAACAGCCACAGTAAGAATAAAATGCTGCGATACATTTTGACACTGTCTCCCATAACATCCTCATAGGTAAGCTCAGGAAGCGTGGACTAGATGAGTGGACAGTGAGGTGGACTGAGAACTGGCTGAATGGCAGAGCTCAGAGGGTTGTGATCAGCAGCACAGAGTCTAGGTGGAGGCCTGTAGCTAGTGGTGTTCCCCAGGGATCAGTTCTGGGTCCAGCCTTGTCCAGCTTATTCGTCAGTGACCTGGATGAAGGCATGGAGTGTACCCTCAGCAAGTTTGCTGATCACACGAAACTGGGAGGAGTGGCTGATACACCAGAAGGCTGCGCTGCCATTCAGCCAGACCTGAACAGGCTGGAGAGTTGGGTGGAGAGGAACCTAATGAAGTTCAACAAGAGCAAGTGTAGGGTCCTGCACCTAGGGAGGAATAACCCCATGCACCAGTACAGGCTGGGGGTTGACCTGCTGGAGAGCAGCTCAGCAGACAAGGACCTGGGAGTCCTGGTGGATAACATATTGACCATGAACCAGCAATGTGCCCTTGTGGCCAAGAAGGCCAATCATATCTTGGGGTGCATTGGGGACAGTGTGGCCAGCAGGTAGAGGGAGGTTCTCCTCCCCCTCTACTCTGCCCTGGTGAGGCCACATCTGGAGTGCTGTGTCCAGTTCTGGGCTCCCCAGTCCAAGAAAGACAAGGAGCTACCAGAGAGAGTTCAACAGACGGCAGCAAAGACGATGAGGGGACTGGAGCATCTCCCTTATGAGGAAAGGCTGAGGAAACTGGGTCTGTTCAGCCTGGGGAAGAGAAGACCGGGAGGGGATCTGATCAATGCTTACAAATACCTTAAGGGAGGATGTCAAGAGTACAGGGCCAGATTCTTTTCAGTTGTGCCCAATGACAGGAAAAGGGGTTTCTTGAAACACAGGAAGTTCCATCTTAATATGAGGAAGAACTACTGTACTTTGGGGGTGGCAGAGCACTGGCACAGGCTGCCCAGAGAGGTTGTGGAGTCTCCTACTCTGGAGATACTCAAAACCTGCCTGGATGAGATCCTGTGCAACTTGCTGTAGGTGACCCTGCTTTGGCAGAGGGGTTGGACTAGATGATCTCCAGAGGTCCCTGCCAACCCTGCTGACTCTGTGATTCTCTGGTTCTGTGATTGGAGTGCAACAGCTTTTTTTGCACTACCCCTTCTGAGGTCCAGGGGAGGGGCAGCTGTACTACAGAAGATTAAGTATCTGTGTTTACCTTGCTGTTTAGCCTCCTCCAGCAGTAGTTTAACTAGTTCAGGAGTCATAAATCAGCATTTTCTCAGTCCCAAGCAACAGTCATATTCTGCCTGCCCCTCTCAGTTGTAACATCCCTATCTGAAATCCATTTTCACGCTGGTTTCTCATAGAACCTTCTGGCTGGAGGGCTGTACTGCTGTCTGCCTGCTCTAGGTAGCACCTCAGCCAACCCTTATGAAACAACGAACGATCTACTTTCAGACTCAATTAGGGCCTGAACAAAACTGTTGCAGTATTGCTGTGAAATTTTCTTAGATAGGCAGCTTCAAGCTCTTCTGCAATTCCCTTTCATTTTTCAATAATACATCTTTATTTTAAAGACATGATCATTCCCTCTGAGTTCATCTGCTGTTCCTCTTGCTGCAGGTACACTTACAACATGCTAGCAAGGATGGGGATATACTACCTACCACTGACATGGCTCAACTTCTCACTGTGCATCCCACTCTATCCCCTTTCAGTTCTGGCTAAAGGTAAGGAGATGGGAAAGGTACCAATGACTTGCTTCCTTAATCTTCTTCAATAAAATTTGATCAGTTCAACTGTCTTTGTGTTTAAGATATTTCTTTTTGTGTTGCCAAAGTAGTCATAAATGTTTATGTACTCTCATATTAACCTGTATGTCACCTATCTTTCTCTTTTCTGTACTTTTTTCCTTAATAGGGATTCTCTGGGGTTTGTGTGCCTGGTTTTTGTTTTGTTTTGCTTTTTAACAGCATAGGATAATGTTCATTTTTTGGGGTACAGCAGGAAAATAAACCCACAAAAGACACATGGATTCCCCCATTCCAGACTGACCACATTAGACAGCAAGTCCCAAAGCCACCTTCTCCCCCACTGAGGATGACCTCACTGGCTCAAGCTGTACTTAGCACCTTGTCATACTTACACCAGGAAGTGTACCCACCACTATCATCTTGAAAGTCGTGAAACTACAGGAGTGACAGAACTTGTTATTGAATAGGATATCCTTGCTAATTCTAGTATTAAGAGCAATTAGCACCTCAGACCTACAAAACTGAACTCAAGGAGAAAACAGCATGTGCGTACGCATACGAATGACATGGTAAATTCAGCCTATAATATAGCTATCTGTGCCTTAAAGATAACTGACTTTTACGTGAAGCTTTTTGATGATCTTCCACCTCGTTTTGACTAAAGATTTACCATGTTATTTTACAGCATTTGCAATTTGTGTATCACTGCCTTACTTTGAATCCTTTGGCACATACTCCATCAAGCTACCATTTCCATTCGCCTTCTCCATCTACTTCCCCTATGTTCTGAAAATGTACCTGCTAGTGCTCTTCATAGGTAAGTACCTCATCTTCCAGACAGCTGGGTCACAACAGAACTGGGATACCTATGGCAACAAAAAATGAAACCAGTTTAGCTCCTTTCACAAACTCTAACTCTCTCTGCCACATCTCCCACAGACCACTGCAGGGAAGTTCATCACCAGCTGTTCTGATTTTTTATGTCCTTCAAATACAAATAATTGAATTTGCAAGAGACACCGTGTGTGTGAGGCATAAAAATACAAAATAAAAATATTGCTTCAGTGATCCTGGCCTTACAGCTACTTATTGAAGTTTGCTTCCTCCCCGCCCCCCCCAGCCTCAATTCCCATTTGATCATACCCTGATTTTGTGCAACCCCTCCTTACTCATTCCTCCTAGCTGTTATGAGAAGTTATATCTAAATTAAGACTTTTACAGCTTGATTATCCAAAGGGGTGAAAAAAGAGCGCACCCCAAAACCTGCATGTAAATAGACCCCTTCTCTTTCTCAACAAAATACTTTTGAAATATCTTAAGTGAATTTGGATGCAGTACACTCAAGTCTTTGTTTTGTCCTTGGCTTTAACACTGATATGAAGGATCTCATCTTCGTGATGCAGTGCTCTGTTCCTAAGTTCATGGAAGGAACTCTGCAAGGTTGCCAGATGAAGGCTACTACTGTTCCTTCTAAATGAATTGAAGACACTTTGAACTCTACTCCTTTGTTCTTACACCATTTTGTGTTTTGATTCAGGTATGTGCTTTATCATCCAGAACCTCTTCTCTGAAAGGAAGACACACCTAGGGACAGGCAGCATCAAAAAGAAAAGAAGCTAAGTTGGTATTTTGTTTGAAAATAAATATATTCCCAGTGGGCTGCTGCATATCATAGGTTAAAAAGAAATTAGATGAAGATTTTCAATACAAATCTGCTGTTTGCACGTACAGTATCTGGCTGTGTAGAATTTTCAGAAAAGGCAGGTTTCTTTAATGCACCTCAAAAATGGAGCAGCTCAAAATAACTAGTTACTTTTGAAAGTTTTGACTTCAAATGACAGGAATTTTAAAAATGAATATATTTTTTCTAACATATATTAAAGAAGTCTGAAAAAATTTGAAGAGTGCCTCCACTCACAATCACACTAACAACCCTTATTTTGGTGTTAATTCTTGCTTCATTAGCAACAGATATTCTGTAATGACAATACCATTTAATCTGTAAGATTATTTTATATTAGGCCAACATGTATGTGCCTCATATATAAATGCTAAATTGGCTAGAACTGGAATCTCCCTAGGAGAAGAACCTGGAAACTTTGCAACCTATGAGATTCATATGCAGACTAGCCCCAGGCATTCACAAAGGATCTCTCACATTTTGGCCCAACCTTCACTTCTCCAAACAAGATTCCCAAAAATGCAGCTAAACTACAAAGGCAAGTGGTCAGGTACTCATCTACTATATATTTAAGGGGATATTTAGGGGTCAGAAGTAAAAACTTGATATCATGTGTCTGGCAGACATGAAGAATCTCTTTCCCCAGAATTATTTTCTTCCATGAACAGCAGGCAGAGATGCAAAAGAAGTGTGATGTAGTCAGGCCAAATACATGTTCTGTAAAGGGAAGGGAATGACTATCAAAAGCCATGTGCAAAATTCATTTTACTTAAGTGCATTGCTCCTTGTACTTCTGTAGGACTACCTGAGAATGCAACTAGAACATAGTCTTTTCAAAGGCTGGGAATGAAGAATACGAACAGCAACCCAGTGCAGTACAGGCAAAAATGGACAAATAACTGCTTAGAGGCCAGCAGGGGCTTTTTTGATGTTTCATCTATATCAATTATCACCTACATTTGAATTCAAGCAGGTGGGGAGAAAAGTGAGGGTGTTTTCTTGAGTGTGACTGAAAACTGGGGAGAGGGAGGAAAGATAATAGTTGGAGAGAGAAAAGATAACAGTTGGAGGGAAGAAAATATTTAAAAGGAAATTTAACACTATCACAATATGAAGAGGCTTTTGCCCGTATGACTGTCTAAACCATGCAGCTTAAGAGGGTATACAAGGAAAGAATGAAGCTGGCCTTGAAGAACTCCTTTGTTATGAAAGGTGACCTACTATCATTTTTATTTATTTAATATATGTGGCGGACAATGCCTGCAGACTATTGTGACCACTGGAGTATTTGCAAACCATAAGCAACAAGGTCATGCATGCAATAGTATAGGGTCAACCTGGATTATTATTTTTTTTTTGAAAGCACTGCAGTCAGAGGTAGGAATTTGGAACCTATTAGAGAAACAGAAGGACTTCCACTTTGGTCTTCTGTTTGACCCAAACTGACTCAAGTGCGGACAATGTGAAGAAACATACAGAGCAGCTGAACAGGATGACAGCTTTGAAGAAGAGAGCTAGAACAAGAACACTTCACATCAAACCACTCTGTCACACGCTAAAGGTGAAACATGGACATTTTTCCCCTTGGAAACTCAATCTAACGTGTTTGTTATCAAACTGCCTGGAGAGAACATACCCTGTAGGTGGAAACATGACCTATGATACTGTGGCAAGGCTTTGACAGTGGGGAAGGTGCAGGGATGGCCTCCATGAGAAGAAGCCGGGGGCTTCCCCCATGCCAGACACAGCTGGTTCCAGGCAGCTCTGAAACAGCCACTGTGGGACAGTGCTGAGCCAAACAGCAAAGCTGATGGCACCTCTGTGAAAATATTTAAGGAAAGGTAAAAAAGGCAGCAGCTATGAGAGAGAAGACTAAGAAAAATGTGAGAGAAACAGATCTTCAGACACCAAGGTCAGTGGAGAAGGAAAGGAGGAGGTGCTCCAGGCACTGCAGCAGATTCCCCTGTGGCCCATGGGGAAGACCGTGGTGGAGCGGGGTGTCCCTCTGCAGCCCATGGAGGATCAGGGCAGACAGGACATCCACACTGCAGCCTGTGCAGGACCCCACACTGCAGCAGGTGGATGTGCCCTGAAGGAAGCTGCAGCCCATGGAGAGGCCACACAGGAGCAAGTTCCTGGCAGGAACTGTGGCCCATGAGGGACCCACACTGGAGAAGCCTTTTCCAGATGGACTGTACACCATAGAAAGGACCCAAGCTACAGCAGTTCTTGAAGAGCTGCAGCCTGTGAGAAGGAACCATGTTGAAGCCGTTCATGAAGGACTGTATCCCATGGGAGCGACCCCATGCTGGAGCAGGGGAACAGTGTGAACAGGAACAAGCAGCAGAGATGAAGGTTTATGAACTGACTGCAACCCTCATTCTCTACCCACCCTGCACCGACTGGGGAGGGAGGAGTTGGAAGAGTCAGGAATGAAGGAGTGAAGTTGAGCCTAGGAAGAAAGCAGGGGTGGGGGGGAAGGTGTTTTGTGTTTGTTTCTTACCATGCTACTCTATTTTTAACAGGCAATAAATTACTCTTCCCCAAGTCAAGTCTCTTTTTGTGCCAGTAAATGGTAAATGATCTCCCTGTCTTTATCTTGACCCACAATCTTTCTCATCCTATTTTCTCCCTGTCCTGTTGAGAAGGCAGAGAGGAGCAGCTGAATGGGCATCTGGCAGCCAGCCAAGGCCAAACCTACCACAGATATTCATACTAAGCCATGTTTATTGTTTTATGTTAAAAAAACCCAACATGGTGTGATGCTCTCCCTTTGCATTCTTACAGCTGGCTAAAAGCCTGGAGTAGAACAGCTCTTTAAAATTCAACTATGGGGAAGACCCCCAAACCTGCAAGAAAAAGGCATGAAGCTAATGACAGAAGACTTCCCCACTTCTTTCTGGTGCAGAGGTAACTTCAGGCAGGCAATTGGGAGATCCAGGGAATCAGCCTTCCATGTGTGACCACAGCAGGCCACTGTAACCCACTGTAACTTCAGCTCCAATGCCTTACCTTAGTTGCTGGAAAAGGTCACGATTGGACAGGCAAAAAGGTGCTTAAAAAGTTGCCCAAGACTTTCCACCTCTGCGAACCTAAATCTTTGTTCAAAACTTGTATCATTCTTGAGATCCCAGCTCCTCTGTATCTCCATTTAGATCTGATAATGGAATCAAAATAAGCAATGTTCTTATATATTCTAAATAAACATCGGCAAAATAACGTACTGCATAGACAACGGTGAAGAAATATCACTAGAGAAGTGGTATATAATTGAAAGTGGTCAAACAATCTCTTTAGGAGCAGAAGGATACCTGACTACTGTTAAATTTGTCTAACATTTAAAAAACCACTAGTTTTAGTACAGCTTATGTACTGTGAGACTGAATTCATAAATATGCATATGAAACACATACAGTGTAGCAAAGAAATTATACCTAAGTGCTAAAGATAGAAAAAAAAAAAAATATCCCTTCAGTTTGCCCACAGAACAGATACACTGGAATCACAAGAACTTGTCCTACCAATATCTTCACCACCAGCTTCCTTTGCTGCCTTCCCACTCATCTAAAATTCAGTAGCAACTAAATTACCCACCTCAGTCCTTGAAAATCATTGTCTCCAGAGCAAGACATTATTTTGAAAGAGATCACCTAGAAATAAAAATCATATTCATTTCTCTGGTCCTATCACACAACAGGAGGAATAGTCTTTCCATCATAGGCTATGTGTATACTTGCAGGTACAGCAGCCCAATAGGAATGGAACTATAGAGTGAAAGGATTCAAAATGAGGACCCAACAGCCAACTTATCTGCCTTTCAGAGGGTTTTACTTCAAACCAGCTCTAATTTAGTCCTGTAAGCTGAACACACGGAATTGTAGAGTACACTGGTGTATTTAGAATAGAAAAGTTCCTGTTGGAAGGGACCTACAATGATCACCTAGTCCAGCTGCCTACCAATTCAGGGCTGACCAAGTTAAAGGATATTATTAATGGCATTGTCCAAATGTCTCTTAAACACTGACAGGCTTGGGGCATTGGCCACCTCTCGGAAGCCTGTCCCAGTGTTTGACCACCTTCAAAGAAACATTTCTTAATGTCAAGTCTGAACCTTACCTTTGAACCATTCCCAAGCATCCTGTTGTCAGATCCCAGGGAGAAGAGATCAGCACCTCCCTCTCCACCTCCCCTCCTCAGGAAGCTGTAGAGAGCAATGAAGTCGCCCCTCAGCCTTTTCTCCAAACTAAACAAACCCAGAGTCCTCAGCTGCTCCTCACAGGACATGTCTTCCAGCCCTTCCACCAGCTTTGTTGCCCTCCTGTGGAGGCATTGAAGGACGCTGACATCCTTCTTAAATTGTGGGGTCCAGAACTGCACACAGTACTTAAGGTGAGGCCGCACAATGCTAAATATGGTAGGATAATCCCCTCTTGACCGGCTGGTTATGCCGTGTTTGATGTACCCCAGGATGCGGTTTGCCCCCTCGGCTGCCAGGACACACTGCTTGCTCACATTGAGCTTATCTACAACCAGCAACCCCAGATCCTTCTGCAGGGCTGCTCTCCAGCCACTCCTCTCCCAATTTATACTTGTGTCTGGCATTACTCCATCCCAGGTGCAGAATCCGGCACTTCGACTTGTTAAATTTCATCCCATTAATCCCATAATCCCCTTATCATAGAAGGATATCGAATTAGTTAAACAGGACTTTCCCTTTGTGAACCCATGTTGACTGTGCCCAATGATTGCACTGTTCTTTAAAAGTGTTTCAATAGCACCCAGCGTGATCTTCTCCATCGTTCTTCCAGGTACTGAGGTTAAAGATAGTTTGCTGTCTAAGGTTCAGCTGCATTGTTGCTGCTTAATTTTATCCAAGGAATCTTTGCAAAATTATACTACCATTCACCAAAACCATTTCAGCTCTGCCCTTCAGCCAATT